GATACGCAACCGGGTTAATCCGACACAGAACCTTGTAAGGGCCTATGTAACGAGGGGCAAATTTCATGGAAGGAACCTTCAAGCGGATGTTTCTGGTACTCAACCACACCCTATCACCCGGGGCAAAAACCGGAGCCACCCGTCTCCGTTTGTCAGCGTGTCGTTTGAACACCATGGAATTCTGAAGAAGAATTCGTCGAGTCTGATCCCACAACTTTCTCAGATTGGCGACATGAACATCAACCGACGGAACCCCTTGGGAAGGGGAAACCGACGGAAGAATGGAAGGATGAAAGCCATAATTCAAGAAAAAGGGGCTAGAACGAGTAGAATCACAAACGAGATTGTTGTGTGCAAACTCTGCCCAAGGAATCAGACCAACCCAATCGTCCTGGTGTTCAGAAACAAAACAACGCAAATATTGTTCAATCTTTTGGTTGGTGCGTTCGGCAGCTCCGTTGGACTGGGGATGATAGGCAGATGAGAAATTCAACTTGATGCCTAAGTGAGAACAGAAAGACTTCCAAAAGCGGGAAACAAATTGGGAACCTCTATCAGAAACAATTTCAGAGGGAATACCATGTAAACGAAAAATCTCCCTCGCGAATATCTCAGCTAATTCGGGAGACGAGGGCAGTTTAGGCAAGGGCACGAAATGAGCCATTTTAGTAAACCTGTCAATCACCGTGAGAATAACAGTATGTTTTTTAGAAACAGGCAAATCGACAATGAAGTCCATAGCCAAACATGACCATGGTCTCTCGGGAATTTCTAAGGGGTGCAAAAGTCCACAAGGGAGCGCGTGAGGTTGCTTAGTCTTCATACAGACAGCACATGCCCTGACGAAATCCCTTATATCCTTACGAAGGGAAGGCCACCAGAAATCTTTAGAAATCAGGGAACACGTCTTGCGTGTGCCAGGGTGCCCAGCAATTTTACTGTCATGAAAGCAATGCAGCAGTTCCACTTGGAGCTCAGGAGGAACGAAGTATCGATCCCCAGGAACAGGTTTGGGAGCTAGATGTTGTACTTTCTTGATCTCAGCAAGCAACGGCGAGTGTATCCTGACACACGTGTTGGCAATAATATTACACTTGGGAACGATAGAAGACAAAGCTGCTTCAGACACCGTAGAAGGTTCATGTTGGCAGGACAATGCATCTGCCTTAGAGTTCTTAGAACCAGGTCTATAAGTGAGCACGTAATTGAAATGTGTCAGAAACAAGGACCAACGAGCTTGCCTGGCGGACAAGCGCTTGGCCTCCCCTATGTAGGACAAATTCTTGTGATCCGTCAAAATAGTAACCGGGTATAATGTCCCCTCCAACAAATGTCTCCATTCCTTTAAAGCCATAATGACCGCTAACAGTTCCCTATCACCAATGTCATATCTACTTTCAGGCCCAGATAATTTCTTGGAAAAAAACCCACATGGATGTAACGGTTTATCCAAACCTAGCCTTTGGGACAAGATAGCGCCTATACCTGTCTCCGAGGCGTCAACCTCGAGTAGAAAAGGTAAAGATGTGTCAGGATGAACTAATATCGGTGCTGAGGCAAAATATTCTTTGAGTGTTTTGAAAGCAGAGAGAGCCTCTGTAGACCAAGTCTTGGTATCAGCACCCTGTCTAGTCATATTGGTAATAGGAGCAATAATAGAAGAGTAACCTTTAATGAAGCGCCTATAATAATTGGAGAATCCGATAAATCTCTGAATGGCCTTGAGTCCCCTGGGCAATGGCCAATCTAAAATCGATTGGAGTTTAATGGGGTCCATCCTAAATCCGTCTCCAGAAATAGCGTAGCCAAGAAAGTTTATCTGAGATTGGTCGAAGCTACACTTTTCCAATTTGCAGTACAATCCATGTTGTAACAGTTTGCGCAGTACCCTTCTGACTTGTCTGTGGTGAGTCTCAATCTCTCTAGAGTGTATTAGTATATCATCCAAATATACTATAACGCATTCATGCTGAAATTCCCTAAGAACCTCATTAATAAGGTCCTGGAATACTGCAGGTGCATTGCAAAGCCCGAAGGGCATTACCGTGTATTCATAGTGGCCATAACGGGTATTGAAAGCTGTTTTCCATTCGTCTCCCTGCTGAATTCTCACCAAGTTATAAGCTCCCCTCAGATCTAACTTGGTAAAAATCTTGGAGCCTTTCAGTCGATCAAAGAGCTCAGTAATCAAAGGAATAGGATAAGCATTTCTAATAGTTATCTTATTCAAGCCCCGATAATCAATGCAAGGCCGTAGAGTGCCGTCTTTTTTATCTACAAAAAAGAAACCGGCACCGGCCGGAGAAGAAGATCTCCTAATAAATCCTTTGTCTAGGTTTTCACGTATGTACTCCTCTAGGACTAAGTTTTCCTTAGTGGATAAAGGATATACCGTACCCCTCGGAGGCATAGTACCAGGTAGAAGTCTAATTTTACAGTCGAAAGACCTATGTGGAGGTAAAGTATCAGCCCTCTTTTTGTCAAAGACTGCCTTTAAATCCAGGTACTGAGACGGTATCTGTAAATCTGTAGATTGGGAAGAGTTAACCGGGGCGTCAACCATGCAAACCGGTGAGACTTTCTGTAAACATCCTCTCTGGCAACCCTGACCCCAGGAGACTATCTCACCCAGTTCCCAGTCAATGATAGGGTTATGCTTCTTAAGCCAGGGATACCCCAAGACTATAGGAACTGAAGGAGATGAGATCAGCATGAGGGATATTCTTTCCTCGTGAAGGATACCAGTGGTTAACTTAATTGGTATGGTCTCACGAAAAATAACAGGTTCAGATAATGGTCTACCATCTATGGCCTCAACGGCCAAGGGTGTATCCCTTAGCTGAGATGGGATAGAATGGTTAGTGACAAAGGCTTGGTCAATAAAGCTTTCAGCTGCTCCGGAATCTATCAAAGCCATAGCATTAAGTACTCCCTTTTCCCAAGCTAAAGAAACAGGTATCAGAAGCCTATGATCTTTATAATCATATATAGAGGACAAGATAGAAACACCCAAGGCCTGTCCTCTTGAGAAACTTAGGTGCGAGCGTTTCCCGGCCGGTTAGGGCAATTTAGGCGTAGGTGACCTCTAATTCCGCAATACATACAAAGCCCCTCCCTTCTCCTGTACTGTCTTTCCTCTTCTGAGAGTCGAGTATTACCTATTTGCATAGGTTCTGGGAGAGCTAAAGTAGTAGAATCAGAACTCTGAAATGAGGGAGCTAGTCTTATGGAGGATCTGCGGGTTCTATCCCGAATATTCTGCCTCTGTCTCATACGTTCATCTATTCGGGAAATAAATGAAATCAAATCCTCCAAATTTTCAGGAAGATCTCTTGTGGCAACCTCATCTAAAATCTCATCAGATAACCCGTTCATAAATACGTCCATATAAGCCTGTTCATTCCACTTGACTTCTGCCGCCAAGGATCTGAACTCTAAAGCATAATCCACGAGGGTTCGGTTATACTGTCTAAGACGTAACAGTAGTCTAGCTGCATTGGCCTTTCTTCCTGGGGGGTCAAAAGCTCTCCTAAATGCAGCGACAAAAGCATTATAATTGTAAACTAACGGGTTATCATTTTCCCACAGGGGGTTAGCCCATCTAAGTGCCTTGTCAATGAGCAAGGTGATTATAAATCCAACCTTCGCCCTGTCAGTAGGGTAGGCGTGGGGTTGTAACTCAAAATGAATACCTATCTGGTTTAAAAAACCTCGACAAGTGTCAGGAGCGCCGCCATAGCGTGAAGGGGACGTAACACGGGAAGAAGTAGCCACTGTGGCTACCTCTAGGCCTGTACTTATAGGAGAGATAGATGGGGTACGCATCTCCTCTGAGTGATTACTAGGACGAGATAGCAATGCTTGCAGAGCTAGAGCCATCTGGTCCATTCTATGATCCATGGCCTCAAATCTAGAGTCAGGAGAACCAACCTGAGAGTTTGTACCTGCAGGATCCATTGGCCCTGTCGTAATGTCAGGATCGTGACAGGGATCCAACACGCAGAATACAAACAGGAGATAGGTACGTATACCGGACCTTAGAATGGCCGGACTAACGTAAGGAGAAAGCAAAAGAATGGTCAGAGACAAGCCGAGGTCGAGGGAACGAGAGATCAGGTAAGCGAGAGACAAGCCGAGTCAAAAGGACAAGAGAGGAAAGCAGGGTCAAAAATACAAGCCGAGACAGGAACCAAAAGACAATAGAGGTAAGTGCACTGAGTGACCAGACTAGCTAGAACCACGACAGGGCAATGAATCATTCCACAGAACCCTTTTTTATACCTTGGCTCTTTAACTGTTGGCTCCGCCCCCAACGAGTCCTGATTCGTTGTTCGGCACTTGGTTGCCGTGATTGACGGGTCGGAACGTGATTGCCGTCATGACGTCGGCTACTGAGCGCCGCGTCATAAAAGAAGGCGGAGCTATCGCGGCCGGCGTGTAAACGGCCGGGAGGAGTGCAAGGATCGGGTGAGTCAGCCCCCCTAGGAGGATGGACGTCTAGGTGTCTAACCTCCTCCGAGGTAGACACCAAAGGTAACCTGACAACTGGTGACCCTGTTTGGGAACATATCCTCAAGCAGGAAGCGCCTCTCCAAATGTGTTCTATGCCCCACCTCCTCCAGACTGTAAGCTTGTTTGAGCAGGGTCCTTATCTACCTATTGTTCCTGTAACATTTAACGTTATTGTTTCATTTTTTAATTTCCCTTTTAATGTAAAGTGCTGCGGAATAAACTGGCGCTATATAAATATCAATAATTATTATATGACATGACATGGTGGTTTCATTACCAGCACATTGAAGTCAGAATGAAATAGTAGATATCACACTGTACCTATATTCCTCTGGCAAAGCTTAAGATCCATTAATCAGAGGAATATCACAGTGATTACAGTGCATCAGGGTTCTTGTGCTCTCCCATCATACAATCCTCTGTGTATAGGTCCATGCTGCTAGTATAGACCAGGTTACCAAGATGTGACTCAACAGATCTCAACAAATCTCTGCATTTGCTAGCTATTCTACTTGCATGACACAGAGTTTGAATTTTATGGTCTTTCATGTAAACTAAATTTGTGTGTACTATAACAAGATTAAAATCGACTTAAACAGGTAAAGAGAGAATGGCTTGCTAATTTTTAGCGTTTCACTGACACTACAGTAAAGGGAACAGCCAACTCTTATGTTTGGATTCAAGCCTAGTTTTCATTAAAGGATCACTATAGGCACCCAGACCCTTTCCTCTCCATCCAGCCCGGCGGGAGGGGGACCCTGAGGATGGGGGCACCCTCAGGGCACTATAGTGCCAGGAAAACGAGTATGTTTTCCTGGCACTATAGTGGTCCTTTAAGATTAATTTCCCTGGGTACTTTATAGACATGTTCAATTACTTTCGTTCCGAATTTAAATTCGGAAGAATTTCGGCAATTCGGATGCTTGCGAATGTCCTAATTGCCGAAATTTGGAAGTGCCGAACAAAACCGAATTGCCAAAGTGCCTGAATTTCGAAAGTGCCGAAGTGCTTCGGATTTCTGAAAAGGGGCATAACAGGAGAGGGAGGGAAAATTACGGGAATGATGACAGGAATCTAATCCTAATCCTACCCCTAATCCCGCCCCTAACAGTAACCCTAACCCTACCTCTAACCCCTACCCCTAACCCAATCCCTAAGCCTACCTCTAACCCCTAAATGTGTAAGTGGTGGTTAGGGTTGGGGTTAGGGGTTGGGGTTAGGAGATTGCCCAAGTACCGAATTTCGGAAGTACCGAACCGAAGTGCCGAATTGCTGAAATCCTGAATTACTGATGTCCCGAATTTCGGAAGTGCCGAACCAAATATTTTGCCCATGCACATCCCTAGTACTTTATAATTATTATCACTCCACCTATTTGTATGGTGTGCTAACTGCCTTATTTCGCCTCCTATGTGGTAGTGGCGGAAGGAAGTGATAACATATGACTTTTTCACAGTGTATGAAGAAGCCGCACTGTAGGCAAAGAATAGTATGTCAATGTTCTGGTCCCTTGTGGACCCCAGGAAATCCACCCTCCTGCTACAAAAGGTAGAAAGATAACATGGTGGTTTAAGACGTGTTTTTGATTGTACGTGTCTTGCAGGCTAAGATTATTTGTGTGTATGATTCTTGCAATGTGTGTAACTGTGTGGTGTAGCATTATGTTTGTGCACATGAGAGTGTGTGTTTGGCAGTCAGTATCTTTGCTTCTGTTTGGCAGTGTGCGTCAATATTTTTGTGTTTGCGTCTGTGAATGTTTGCAGGGCCGCCATCAGGGGGTGACAACCGTGACAGTTGTCACGGGCCCGGCGGCCCTGGGGGGCCCGGACTGCTCTGGCAGTCCTGGGCCCCACTTTGTTTCTCTGCACACATAGATAGCGAATATCGCTATCTATGTGTGCAGCCGCGGGCCCCCGGCTCCCTGTTACCGCAGAGGGGGCCCAGGCAGCACACAGCTTCTCCTCCTCTCTCTCTCTTCTAATAACTCTCGCGAGACCCGGTTACCATGGCAACGCTCCGCGGGTCTCGCGAGAGTTATTAGAAGAGAGAAGGAGAAGCTGCCCCTGTGCTGCCTGGGCCCCCTCTGCGGACGGTAACAGGGAGCCGGGGGCCCCCACCGGACCACCACAGATGGAATCTCCCCCCTCCCTGGATACAGGTAAGCAGGGAGGGGGGAGAAACATTTAATTAAATTAATTCAAAATTAATGTTAAAATGCCCCTTCCTCCCCCTCACCCCAGATCACACACTAACAACACACACTGCATACACTAACACACACTAACACAACACACACTACATACACTAACACAACACACACTGCATACACTAACACAACACACACACTGCATACACTAACACACACACTGCATACACT